ACATGAGCATGGAAAATCTGATTATCATGGTCTGATAATATGCAGACATTCGAGAAAAGACTGTTTTTATTGAGTCATATTTTTCCTCTTCCAAAACATTTTTCTTAAACATCTCTCTCTCTCTCTCTTAAAAAAGAAAAAAGCGCAGCCTTTAGTTCCGTGTGCATCACTCAAAATGCTTTTAGCAGCACAATAGAATATCATTCATATGTTTTTACAGGAACACGTTATGCACAATTCAATGGCTCAATATTCCATAAATGCTCTCTCATGAAATATCACCGGTGTGAGATGAAACGCTGATTGGTTTTATTATCTAGTGTAGTGGTGGGGTCGGTTGGATGGAAAGAGTTTATTACCACTATTGTAGTTTATTTTTGTTTTACTAGCTCTTCTCATCGACCCTTCTCACTTGAGCCACGCTAACTGAAAGTTTCAAACGTTCATTCTCAGTGTTCTACCTCCACCTGCTGGTCATATAGAGAATGACTGTTTAAAAAAACTGCCAGCATTGAGAACATCCACTATTATGCAGTGCAGATATGTCAAGAATATTCACACCGAACACGTTTGTGTTCTTTTGATTTTTTTTTCTGTGTAAACATCGCTTGACGAACGTCTTTGATCGTTGCCATGCTTTTTCAACGTTTCGCGTAGGCTACTATTTCGATTCTCGCGCTTTGCCTCACGTTCTGTGTGAACGGCCCTCAAGAGAACACGCGATTTGTGCACCAGCGTCACAACTAAAATGTTGTTAGGGAACATTCACACCGAACACGCTTTTGCGTTTAAAACGCGACGCATGGCAGTTTAAATAAATAAAACCTTTGGATCGTTTACGTAGAAAAACCATGGAAAAGAACTGTAGTGGAATGCAAAAGACGTTAAGTGTGAACGGCCTCTCAGACTATATCATAACCAGCAGTGTTAGTAGCCTAGCTTAAACACATAAGTGATGCTTCGTAATGACAATAGATGAGGAGAAGGAGGGTCGCTCCCACCTCCTTATGCTCCCCAGCCTCCTTTGCCCAAATGGTGTACATCACAAGCCCTATCTCCATACTGCTGACATCTAGGTCGACTGTGGTTTGACATGGCAAGCTAACTAGCCTCTTTTTTTCCCCCTCTCTGTCTCATTAACTCCCTCACGCCACTCTTTCCATCCATCTCTCCCATCTCACGCACACCCACTATTTCCTCATTCTCCCTCCCTCCCTCTCTGTCCCTATCTGTCTCACACCCACTCCTTCTGTCTATCTCTTTTTCTCTTCTCTTCCTACCTTTCTGTTGGCCTCCTCACACCCAGCACCTCCATATGATGCTCTTTAATATTTGATCAGCTCCATCTTGTCTGCAGCCAGCAACAGTGACTTCATGGGATAAATAACGTCTGCCTGCATCTCATCGCCTCCCCGCATGCATCTGCAGTGCGTAATTACGCACAGAATTTATGAGAGGCAGCAGCTTTGTTTATTTGCAAACTGCTCGCAGTAATTGATGCCAGTGTGGAGTGCGGCTGCTTCTGGCCCTCGCGCCCAGACCCCGCTCATTTTCTTTATACGTTTTTACGACAAAACAGCTTGGCCGTTGGAGCTTGTGCGCTTGCAGGGTGGTAAATATTCGTATCTCTCAAAGCTCTCGTATCTCTCTTTAGGCTGGGGTTTACTGGATGTGAGGGGCCTGCCGCAGTGAGAGGAGACAGATGAAGGCTGATGTGGTGCATGCGGTGTAACGTAGGCTACTATCTGGGACCGCCACCAGGTGGACTTCAATGCGAAATGCAGTGTGTATGATTTCGCAGGTGCAAAAGACCAAACTGTCAGTAGAGTTAAAACTAGTTATCCTGGGTGGAATATTCCTGTAATTATAGGCCTACTGCAGTATTTAAAATAATTTCATGTGTTATCTATCTATCTATCTATCTATCTGTCTGTCTGTCTGACTGTCTGTCTGTCTGTCTGTCCAAGCAAGGATAATTGTGACACAATTATAGTATTCTGTTAATTAGAATACTGTGACAGACACGCATAAATCCATACACAGCAAAATGCGTTATTAATCAGTTTTTGTCTCATTCTGTAAAACTGTAATTTAAAAAAATCCTTAAAACAATGTGCATTTACTTAAATTTAAATGGTATAAGATATATAGTTATAAAGAATATACTTGAATTAAATTTTATACCCTATTTTGTGTGTGTGTGTGTGTATGTGTGTGTGTGTGTATGATGCTTATATATATATATATGATATATTGATCTGCCCCGTTTGTCAGAGACACTTCCAGGCCAGGATTGGCCTCGTCAGCCAAGTGTTTTGTGGACTCACATTGTTCTGACCTGTACTTTTTAAAATATATCAAAGAAAAAGTGATCATACTAAATGTTATTATATTTAAATGAAGATAGTGGCAAAACCTTGTAAAGATTTCAAATGACAATTAATTAGTTTTTTTTGGGGGGGGGGGCTATATATGCATATAAAGATGTTAAAATATTTTTACTGTAAAACAATACAAAAAAATCTGTTAAAGAGGAGTTTTGGAAGGTCAAATGTAATATTAGGATACATGTTGATAGAAGAACTGATGACATTGGAGTAGGTGTTACTTAAAGCATAAAATAGAGATTCAAAACTAAAGAAAGGCACTACTTCTGTCCACCAGCAGAGGGAGATCGCATTATGTAACGTAACAAAGGCCCTAAGAAAAAGAAAAAAAAAAGGATGTGGAGCTTCTCATTAGTTCTAAGAATATAATCAAAGCGTCTACAGATAACGCTGTAATCAAGGTTGAATGAATGACTGTGACAGGAGAAGAGACAAGTTCAAGGTCAACCGCAAAAAGCAAGGCCTTAAAATAGTCAGAAGGAAGTGGCGCAGAAGGTCTCTGAAATATAGCATCACATCTCATGCTTGGCCTGACATTTCCGCTTATTGGATTGTCCTCAAAACAGCGCCTGAGATATGATATCTGCTATTACATGTGCTCATTTTAAGGTCCATTTTTTAATCTTGCTATTTATACTCCTTATAGTATAAATAAACAAATCCATCATGAAAAATTTGCCTTGTTTGAATCAGGAGAGAATGCACAGATCAAGCACTGTTTACAAGCAAAAACAGTTCTAAACAAATATGTAGGTAGATTTTGATGTGAGAGGACAACAGGGAATGGACTTTTTCACTGGAGGAAGCATTATTATGGACTATTTTGGCCAGAAGCAACGTTTTGAAGTTAAAACGCATTAATGATGATTTGTTTCTTATACAAACATGCAGCTTTTCGCTTCACAGGATTTTAACTGATGAGCTGGAGTCATGTAGATTATTGTGATGTTTTATCAGCTTTTTATCAGTTTGGACTCTTATTCTGACGGCACCCATTCACTGCAGAGGATCCATTAGTGAGCAATTGATGTAACGCTAAATTACACCAAATCTGTTCTGATGAAGAAACAAACTCATCCACATCTTGAATGGCCTGAGGGTGAGTACATTTAAATTTTGGGGTGAACTACTCCTTTAATAGCCAAACCTGATAAGTTGTTATATATCATCTTCAGTGTGATACATAAGCTAATGCTTTTAACTGGCATTTTGCTAATTATTTTCTTACTGTGTATTATGGCCTTATGAGAAAATATATGATAATAGTAATCATAATCAAATTCAAATTCAGATATTCAAGACTGCACTTCGGATTTTGTATTCATAGTAGGATTTGCAGTTTCATTCTATTGAAAAATAATATAAAACCCACTGATCATTTTTCAGCCGGTCAAATCATCAAATTACATTTTCATTGTCTCACTGTCTTATGATTTAAAGAGACATAAATACAAGGGAAGATTAACATTCTTTTGTAGATTTAGATTTAGATTTTGAGATTTAAGCTCAAGCTGATTCTATTCAGCATTCATCATCATCTTGACTTTTGTTTTTCATTCAATGTGATTTTTTGTATTACTTCCGAGTCATCTCACGCAAGCCCAAAATCAATACTTTCCACCTCTCAGATCACCGAGATCAAAATATTTGATGAAACCTCTGTAGCAAGAAACTTTCAGCCCTGACAGTACCTTAAAAGCATTAAATATCCTAAAGGATCTTTTCTACAAGTCTCTTAGATCAGTAATTGTAGAAATCAGTTATCTATCAGTCAGACAGATGCAGCAAGGTTGTTTCCAAAATTGCATTGTGTAATTTCCCAAATAATGCAATGCTATCAGAAACCTTTGTGTCTGTCATCCATTTACAGAATGAGTTTATAACAAGCTATCTGTGAGGGACAGATCCAGCCATCTGGAGAGGGTCAAGCATCTGCTTTCATTCATGCACTAGTCGTAATTTATTTAAAGATCTTGTTTGCTACTTCCTGTTCTGGAAAGACTGAAGGTTTTAGTCTTAATAAAACCATATAATTGCGAATATTTATTCAGTGAGATCTAGATTTAAGTAGAGATCAGAAGGTCAGATTGTCAAGTAGGCAAATTGGTAGCAACTGATTAGGAATGTATTTGCAATTACTGGCCGTTTCTTCTTATTTGAGGTCTAAATTAGCACTCTACATGCACTTCAACATGTATGCTGGATAAATAAATTGGCATTCAAAAAGTAAATCAGAGGGCAAGACCTCTCTCTCTCTCTCTCTCTCTCAAAAAAAATAAATAAATAAATAAAAACATTAAGAAAAGAAGATCCATATGAAATGACAACAAAGAGGAAAAACTGATATTTTATTGTGTTTTACTGAAACAAACACATAAATAAAAGACAATAAGCAAATGTACTGTAAAAATTCTGTTACAATGTTTGACAAATGTTGTTTCTATACATCAGGGGTTCCCATGCTTTTTTTGGGCAGGTCAACCCCCTTAACTGGTCACTTGGAGATATTTTTACATTTTCACATGTATTTATTATTATTATTATTATTATTATTATATAACCTCAAAGACTGACCCTTGACCTTACTAAAACTGAACACTGAAATGTTCATAATCCTTTTAAAATATAACTATGTAAACATCGATTTAATTTTCAGTGTTTGCGTGGCATTTTCAGTGCCTTCATGTGGTGTAATCCTCTTCTGTCCTTAGCATAGTCCTGATTCAGACCATGTCAAAATTCATGTTCTTCCTGATTGGTCAGCTGGCTCACTCTGGCTGAGGTAAGTAGGAACGCCACGGCGGTACAGAGTTCTCCAACAAAAGAAACAGAGGCTAGAATCAGAGACCAGCCAAAGTAAATCTCAATGTCCTCCAGGGTTTTGTGGCCAGAGATGTCCACAGCCTCTTTGAAGGCGGCCGCAGAGTACGCCATGTAGACACAAATTCCAGCCAATGACAGCATAGCTGTAAGGAACAGAGCAGGAAGATAGATGTTTGTAAGACATTCTCCAGTGGTTTGTAGAAGACAGTAAATGCATACACTGTACTGATACCGGACAGAAATCACACTTGATAAATGGTAATGTTTTTACAATTGTTTTATGTCAGAATAGATTCTCTTAACCAATTTTATTGCTCACTGAGTTGACTACTATAAGTATGCCATTTATGGGTTTATCTCCCCCCAAAATGTAAACAATCGAGCCTCCCAGGCACCATCAAAACAGCGGCCCGCTCAGATCTGTCAATCTCTTTGCAGCTGAGCCAAGGGTGTTTAGCTGGCTGACACGTTACATGCATAGTTCCAAATCTGTATAAGTTTCTTTTGTTGAGCACAAAAGAAGATATTTTGAAGAATGTTGGTAACCAAACAGTTGATGGTATAGCCACTGACTTCAATAGTATAGACAAAAAATACAATGAAAGTCAATGGCTACCATCAACTGTTTGGTTACCAACAATCTTGTTTGGAACAACCTGAGGGTGAGTAAATGAAGACAGAATTTTCATTTTTGGGTGAACTATCTCTTTAAGAAATTAGAAAATGAAATTCAGATTCAGTAACAGAAGTGCAAGCCAAATTTCAAAGACTTGCCAAAATACACGGAGACAGACAACAGGGTAAAACAAAGGTGAACACTGGCGGTGCTTTTACAAGATGGCAGAATTTGATAGAATGGGTTTCAATCGAGATGCCAAACTTGTAGTTCCCTTTCATGGGAACTTCGAACTGCGTCCTCTAGGGGTTTCCCCTCCTTGACATCTCGCTAAAAAGCGGATGCCAGGGCATACGCAGCAGCAGCAGGTCGGGCTGTCGCTTCATTGCACACGAT